ACAAACTCAGAACTAGAGATAGTCGCAAACAATAAAGTAAGGCGTGGTAAAGGAAACTGGAAATTAAATTTTAGAGGATATGAAATTCATTGACGAAATAAAAGCTAATATTAACCAAATTGGGAATTAAGATATAATTATGGAAAAGGATGCTTTAAAAGGAAAATTTGAAAAAGGCAATACGATTCTCCTAAAGAAGAATGGAATTACTGGGGAAAAAAACGGAATAAAGAGACAACTAGGGAAAGAAAATACTAAATAAATGGAGAATAAACTAAGATTAAACAATTTTACAAGTTTATTGGCGTGGTCCCTCTCAGAATTAAATCATCATAGTGACCCTCTAGATCGAAAATTTAAGGTTTTTATGTATTCATGTTTTTTCAATATGCATGTGTAGTGTTACTTTTTAAAAATAAATTTTGATTTTATTAATTTTGAGATAGGGGGTAAGTACGCCGTTCAAATTTGTTATTTTTATCTTTAATTTTTGTAGTTTTCTTTCCGTAATATGTTTTAAAAAGTAGAAATTATAGTTTTTAAACTAATCTAGATAAAATAACATGAGCTGCTAATCACAAAATTCAGGTATATAGTATCTTATGCCACACGTGCATACGACCTGTACTTTCAATAGTGAGCACAATGTGCACGTGCTGCATGTTTCCTCTACTTCAAATTAGTTCACATGTTATACAACTTAGAAAATCCTAAAATCCTAATTAGTGACGCAAGTTTTTGTTATAGCAAATATATACATCTAAATTATTTAAAGTTTAATTCTTTATTACACATGAAAATTATATTAATCACTTAAATTAATGCAGTGGTATTTTCTAGGGACGTTTTACCTTGAATTAAAAATATTAATATTTCTAAATCTATGCACTATTATAATAAGTTAATAGCTATAGAAAAATAGTTTGTATGCAAGTTATAGCAAATAAAACAATTTAAAGATTAAATCTCAGTTATTTCATCATACAGTTAATGGCTATAGCAAAAATAGTTACACAATTTTACAAGAAAATAAAGTGACAGAAATAAGGACCGATTAGGAGAATATAAAAGAAATAAGGTTTGTACAAACCAGATGAACTAAGGCGAGGGTGGACACATTGTGAAATTTAAAAAAAAAATTGATAGACAAAAAGGAAATGGAGAATAAAATACTATAGAGGTATATACATCACAATATTAATTCAAGAGCAATATAAAATTATGTAAAGTAAAATACGAGACAATATCATCAGAATTTAATGACATATGTGATGAATTCATCTCCATGGAAGAAATAGTTAACACCAACCAACGTACAAAAGGAAAATAACGAGGGAGAGACTGGATTCTATTAAAAATTCCATAGCGAGTTACCGCCGAGCCTTGAATTTTTACAAAACTTGCGAAACTTGAGAAATCGTACTTCTTATCTTGAGGGAGGGATTAATTACAATAATATACAAAGGGAAGGGGATATGGATGATCTAAAACTGGAGGCCCATCTCCCTCCTTAATATAGATCATAAAATTTAAGTAGAATACAAGCAAATACAGGGAAAAAGAATGGATACCATAATATAAATCTAACATCTGGGGCAAAAGGGAAGGAAATTGAATGTAATAATATAAATCAAATATTTGAGGCAAAAAGGGATGAAATTGAAAAGTAAAATATAAAATAAAATATAAAAATAGAATATATACAAGGACCAGGACAAAGAGACGCTATGGTGCTTCTTAAGCAAGAAAGTTTTATAGAGTGGAAGAACTATATACAAAATTTTGAAAAGTACGACTCCAGAAAATTTTCCGGAAATGGACCGATTTCATGTATAAAAATATAACTGCAAGAGCAGAGGTAAATAAGATCGCGTCCGAACAATTTGAAATACAAAGGTTAGTGAGGCAAGAGTGACCTTTGTCAATGCTATTATATGTAATAGCAATTGAAATTCTACGTATCAAACTAAGAACCAATAAAAATATTCAGCGAATAAGAATTCCAAATCTGAAAGAATTCAAATTGCTCCAGCATTCAGATAATTGCACAAACTTTATAAGAGATCCAAGTTCCTTTAATCACTTAGAAAAGGGGTACGGATTGTTTGGGAAAGCGTCGTGGTCAAAGATTAATCATGACAAAAAAAAGAAATTCTAAGAATAGGAAACTGGAGTGTAAGCCACCCTAGACCCCCCCTCCAATAAAGAATTACATTTATATCACTAGGATTTTTCTTTAGGAAAATTTTTAAGTAAACTATAAATGCATGGGGAAAAAATAAAGGAGAACATTTAAATCTGGGCGCAAACGCCACTGTGCATAATAGAGCGGGTTCAAATGGTCAAGATTTATTTTATTCTATTATGAACTATATTTTTAAATTTATTAATACTGTTAAAAAAATTAAATTATATTTGGGGGTATAAAATATTACATTGTAAAGGAAACGCTATACAAGGCAAATAAAAGCATTACTTAGCCAAAATTTGTAAAACTAACATAATCGTTTAAAATTAAGACAACACCAAGCACACCTTGGAAAGCATTATGTATTAGTTTGGGATTTAATTAGAAAAAGTGAGGATATATTCAAAACTAATTGAGTATTTAAAAACAATATAGTCCCAAGAAGATGTAAATATATTAAGGATTTGTTATGAACATATAGGGATAATAAAGAATTATGGAAATCGGACAAAAGAGACTTAAGATTGGATTACACGGGACCAGACAAGAAAAATAAAAGCAAAGTAAAAAAAGAAAACTAAAGGGTTAATTGGAACTTTAATGTTCCAGTATTTGCACAACGTCTGGCAGAGAGGTGATGTGGCAATGAGGCATATGATAATACCCAAGTGCCCAATGTGCAAAACCTAAAGTCTTACAAAACTACATGCAATAATAGGATTTGGAAACAAGATATACTTAAAACACCTTACACTTGTCTCAAAGAATGAAAGGAACACGAAATTACATCTTGATGGAAATTTTGAAGAAAAAAACCTACATTAATGGAGATTATGCTGTATCACCAATGATGACAAGTGGGCAGGTGATAGCCTGTCACACGGACTATCGCACCAGTGGTTGGGGGATGGAGAGGGGGATTCGGTTTACAGTCCAAAATAGGGAGTGTAACGTCTATATACGAGGGCTGGAACCTCATTATCCTCCATCTCCATGGGGAAACAAAATAGCCTCATTTTCGATCTTGTCATAACGGGGGGGTAGGCTTAGGTTTATGGTAGGGGTATGTACCAGCCTAAACGCAGTCTTGAGACCCGGCCTCATCACTCACCTCATGAAAACAAAACATCTGCTTTTACCCAACTTTTAACATGGAATAAACTACGGTTTCTAACATTAATATGAATATAACATTTTACCAACAGTATAAATGGGATGCTTTATGTCAATATCTAACAAATTATGTTAATCCAAGTTTTATAATTTTTAAACTAAAGAGGGAACAGAGTATCTGAATATGGAAGAATGGGACACAGAAGTCGCTGGACTCCTTGTGAAAGAGGCTTCCGAAAGAATCCCAGAAAAATCCACGTTTAGAAAATGGACAAACTGAACTCATACACACTGAAAAGATGGGATTTAGTATAATAAAAAATAGAAACTCCTGCTAAAAGTTAACAGTTTATCTTTTTATAATTTAGGACTTTCGGAAACTCTTTGCGTATAGGGGGAAAATCTTCACTAGATACGGTCTAACCGTCCACACTAGTGGGGAGGTCAAAACAATCTTACACAAGACGGGATACAAGGCTATACACTCCATTAAGAAAGAAAATTAAGGCGGCTCCTTCAGCAGGGCACGACTTCATTACTCCTGAATTGAGAAATGTCTCACAATAGCTCACAAAAAATAAGTTTATTTTGTAACAGCAACTGTTCTCATTCAAACAAAATTCTTAAGACAAGAAAATTTAAAACAATTTAAAATGGCATTTCCAATAAAATTAGATTTTTTTCAAAATACCATACAACTTAGCAAAAACACTGGGCAAAAATGTTTGGATTTAATGCTGTCCTTACTCCAGCATTATTAAATTTAATATTTAATTTAATAGTGACGATTCCATAGAAATAATACTATATGATACAACCGGGGATGATATAAACAAGACATCTTGCAGCAAATATGGAACAATATGAGAAACTCACGAATCTACTAAGCCTGACTCGAGATGAAAAATTCAGCACAATGCTTGTTTACTGAATGTAAAAAAAAATGTCAGTTGCTTAAATGTTGTATTATTGCTTCTTATCTGGATAACAAGCTCAGCTCAGCTCAGTGCTAAACGATTCTACAGGAGAAGCTGTTGCAAACAAACGAGATCATTCAAGAATTTTGCAACATCAGAAAGGGTCGCAGCTGCCGTGCCTGTTTTTTATTTAAGTGAAGTGAACGGAGAAGACTTCCTTGTTCAAGAGATATATGCATTAAATAACTTAATAATTTCCAGATAGCTATCGTATGATTAGTTCTACATGAGAAGCTTTTAAAAACAATTCAATGAGTAGATCATTCAACAACTTTAGAAAGAGTTGCAGCTTTCGTGCACGATTTAAGTAAAAAGAACTGACAAGGAGACTTCCTTGCTGAAGGGAGATACATATATACATTGAACTACTGAATATTTTACAGATTGCTATGTTTATCCAAAATAAAGACGTTAAACAACTGCTTGATGACTTGGAATAAATGTCAAAAAAGACACTTGCTTCCCATCTGGTATAACATCACATCACAAGCTCAAATCAGAGTTAAGTCTCGTCCCACCCCAACTAAGTGTGTGTGCGTGCGTGCGTGCGTGCATCGTTTTTTTTAAATGTAGCTTTAACAATTTTTCAGTCATATCGCTACGATGTCTGCAGTGTGCCATTTTAGAATTATGTCTAGCATTGGGACATCATGCCAGACATTCCCCAGTCACATTATCCTGACACCAGGCTGACCAGTCCCAACACTAACTTCTAGATGCTGAGCGCCTAGCGAGATAATTGGCACCATTCGAACCCGCCATCTCCCGCATCAGAGGCGGACGCTCTAGCCTCTAGGCCACAGGAGCTGTCCACTATTAGGTAATTTAAGACTAAAATCCCAAGGTTCATCAGCCAGTTTCAGACTTCATATCAACATGGAATTTCAGTGCAAAACGGCTATTTAAGTTTGAAAAGGTTTCCAAGAATTTATGCAAACTAGGAATGAAAACGATCTGTACACTTATGGGCAATTCCAAACTAAATGCCTTAGTTGTGACATTAAATTACACATCACAATTTGCTTACCTTAGTGTAAATGACGCATCTGGTTCAGCATTGATAGTAAAAAGAATATAAAAAGAATGATCGCAAACGGGAACGAAATGAATACACATGGATAATATGATGCCAATCGGACGTGTATCCAAATGTCTATAGGTCTTTGTTATGTTCAGGAACACCAAATACTTGAAGTTTTAGAAGTATCTAATGCTTACTGAAACAACGGTCACTTCAACGAAATATACACATAATGAATGATACACGCTCACTAGTGTACACGTGGCTCACTTCACTTCGTAGTTTTTCTCTAATTTATATTCTCGTATGCCTCGACTCAACTATATTAAACATTGTGACTTTACCTGTACGTCTCCATTACTAGAATCTATCACCAATTTCACACATGAACAGAGTTCTCCACTAAGTATCCTCGTGTGCCTCTCCAAATTATGCGAAAACATCTAGCATCACCAATTTCAAATTAGAAAGGTTTTCCCCTTTATATATATCCTCATGTGCCCCTGTAAATTCTTGACGTCAAATACATAGATGTTTACTATTTGCCTCGAGTTTATTCAATAAATTGGAAAACAAATAGGGGCTATATTATTTACCAGTCTATGGAACGATTTCTTCCTTGTAATGTTACTTCAGCGGAATATACACACTATAATGGATACTCCCTAATATACCCATGACTCTAAGCTCCATATTTAAATGGTTTCTCTCTGGGATGTATTCTTGTGTACCTGTTGGGGCTACACTACAACTATCATGAAATCTATCACAATCTTCACATTTGAATGGTGATTTCTCCAGAATGCAGGCCCGACCCTAAGATGTGTGTGGCACATGGCAGCAAGGGAAGAGTGCAGGGAACCAACAAAATTGCATTGCGGAAAAGCTCGAGGCCCAAGGCGGTAGCCTCGTTCGCCTTGTCCTAAGGCAAAGCCTGCCAGTATGTACCATTATATGATTTGCTTTTTAAAAATTCTCATTTTGGATAAACACGTGACAAATGACACTATAATGGTATTTCACATGTATGCCTTTAGTACGTTTCCATTTCTAAACTCTTATCACATTTCACATTTGAATGGTATTTCTCCATCGCGTATCCTCAGTGCTTCTTCAAATTACATAGGTCGTAAAACCATTTAGCGTTACAGATTCCATGTTTTAACAGTTTTTCTTCATTATGTATCCTCGTGTGTCTCTTCAAATTACATAAAACATTTAGCATCACAAATTTGACAGTAGATTGATTTTTGTCCATTATGTTTCCTCGTGTGCATCTTGACCGGCAATATCGCCAAATTTCCCCTGCAGGTGATATTTAATATGACCATGATCTCGATCGAATAGACGCTTGGAATTATAATCTAGAACACATAGATGCTTCGAATTTACGATCCTTTGAAAGCCGTACCTGGATAAGAAAAAAGTTAGAAAGTATTCATGTCTAACGCAATCAAATAAACATGCCTACAAATGTATGCAGCAAATAAAAGTAATCTTTAATATAATAAACGTCAAGAATACCAGTCCGTTACTCTCTAAGAAAAATCATTTTTACCCCGTTATTTAAAAGTGGAAATGGTGGCAATGATTTACAACAGTTTTTCTAACATCAAATTACGCGTCTAAATTATTCCTTCCTTTGAAGGGAGTAAACCTCATTCATATAATCACATTCCTAAAAGGTTCTTATACGGAATAAATCTCATAATTATAAGCACATTTCTTGGATATTAGTGAGGTTTATTCCGTCCAATATAGAATTTTCATTTCATACATATTTGAATTGAGCATAGCGGTTTTATTGATCTGTAACTTAGTTACGAAAGAAATTACCTGATTAGTAATGCCAACGAAGTTTATTCCGTTCAAATATAGCTGTATTTCTATATAATAAAACCTTTGGTAATTTAAAGTATAAATGACCTACAAATTTATAATGATTTTATTTTTTATTACAATTTCTTTAATACATATTGTTATATTACATTAAAATGCATACATATTGAGTATGTGATATTAAACATTTAAAGTGTCAAGTTTGTCAAGTTAATAAAACGACCTTTCATTTCATGCAATTACAAACAGATTAAGACTACTGGATGAACAAGAATGATTTTTGTACAATAAATCAGAAAGATAATAAGCACGGAAAATTTCTGCTCTATAATGTTACACAGAATAATTCATTATTTCGTGCAAAGCATAATACATGTTCCTGCATTGCTTTCTCGCTGAGCAAAAAGGTGATAATACAATTTATCATCATGTGCAAATAAGGTAAATAGACGGGAAATAGGGAAATGTGTATTTTATGTACTAACATTTAAACGTTATTGGTATGGCTTCGTTGTGGCCAGTTTGTATAAAACGTTTACTTTCGACTCGAAGACTTGACCATTTCCAACCAACTTTCCTTTGTACATTGTCTACGTGACATATTAAACATTTATTTGTCCCGGCTGCTAAATCCAAATGTGTATTGGAAATTTCAAGCTCTTTTTAATTATTTCTTTACAAATATTGTCACTTGTATGTCAAACTGTATTTCTAGGAGTATTTTAAGTTTCACCAAATTAGTAGATTCTGGTGATAATGAAAACGAACTTTGCACTCTGCACGAATGATTTAACATGCCAGGCTAAATGCTATTGTTATGAAATGGGTCCGAATAAAGTGACGTGAATTACACGCATATTACACTTGGCTTATCTAAGTATAAATAGCGTGCGTGGCGCAGTAATGAAATTATGAATTAAAATATGATTCATGTTTTAAGCAAGAATGAGTGGCAACAGAAACGAAGTGAAGAACGTATGGAAATTTCGATGCCACTTGGATGCCCCATGAATACAGTTTGTTTTGCTCAGGAACACTCAAATACTTGAAATATAAATTATAGAAGTACGTATTTCTTACAGCGACCAAGGGTCACTTTAATACATAATGAATGCAAAAATAGTGACAGATGTTTCGTAGAACATGCATGGCTCTCTTAACTCTCCAACACTTTAAAGAGCACCATTGCATCAATAAACCTTTTTAATTTGCTTCCATTTTTCTGTTTGATTTGAAATGTCGGAAAATGTTAAACAAGTTATTGTTGTTGGGCTTAACACCATTTTCAGAACACGAGAGGCTATTCATGGCGGCCAGTATTAATGGTGGAGGAAGAAACCGGGAAACCGGGAAATCACCGGAAAGAACCACCGACCCACGAGAAGCTACTGGCAAGTTTTCTCACATATCCGCTCGGTCTAAGCAAGATTGTGTTCGTTTTCAAAAGGCTTAAATTCTCGTTGAAAGATGGTTATTCTTTGTCGTAGTTAATTTTTTCCTGATCTAAAAATAAAAATGGTCACGTGACAAATTAAAATTCAATATACAATACAAACGGCGCAAGAAGATGTTGATGCTTGCACATTTATGTGACAATAAAACATTACCTACTTCTGTCACCACTGGATGAAATATTTTTAATATATATTGATTTATGACAGTTTTAATTTTTAATACGAATTTGAACAAAAGCATTTTAAGTAATTTGTTTTGTGTTACTGGTTTTAAATTTATCCTCTCTCTCTCTCTCTCTCTCTCTCTCTCTCTCTCTCTCTCTCTCTCTCTCTCTCTCTCTCTCTCTCTCTCTCTCTCTCTCTCTCTCTCTCGTAAAAAAAGATGAGCCCTTTTTAGCTATACGATAAACACACTAATCCTTAAAACACCCATTGTGAAAGTTTAATGTTAAGAAATAAAGCTTTAGAGAATGTTTCAGGATTGACACAGAAGACAGATCATTGGACGGATGGACTAAGAATCCCATATACTGCCACCTTGATGACATAAAAGTACAAAAGGAAACCCTTAAAACAAGTCACAACGATTGTTAACTTTTCAAGTCTTACGTATATGCTCAATTAATGTAACAAAGAAAAGAGCCAAGACAACAAGCTTGGTAAATTTTAACAAAAATAATTTATTTTTCCTACAAAACACTGTGAAAGATAAAAATATGAAAGAATACTTACGAAGACGATCCAAAAATTTGGCTTTAAATTGTGAAAAATATTTAAGTCTTGTGAATAAACAGTTCTAAATTGACGTAGTCTGAATCTCAATCTCGTTCCAAGATGGCCGATGATGACGTCTTACGAAGGCTAAAACAAATGTTAAGAATTTTCACCGTGAATCACAATTTGTACAGTCCTATTTCAATTTAGAAATAATTTCAGCAAATGTCTTTATCCAAGCCAGTTATGTTGTTCTCAAGGGAAAATAATTATTCTTTAAAAGATAGATGAAGTACAGCTGTCATCAATAACAAAACACATGTTGTTCTTCATACGTACGATCGAACAACTCTTTCTAGCCCAGGAATATCTCTTCCTTAATGTATTAGAAACTCTACAAGATGGTATGATGTGACTCTTTAAGATGTTAATATGTGACTCTCAACTATTACTGATTATTTCTTAAAGGTAACTGAATATTGACACTAAACTAAAAACGTCATCTCACGTACACGGACGCAGGACACTTGGCGATTTCGAAATCATTACAATGCGTAAACAAGTATAATGAGAAATGACCTCGGTCACAGCCAATCATTTCCATAGCTATTTCCAATTGTTTACATAATATGACAAAAACCGTCACGTGAGTTACATTTATGTTTTAAGCAAACACGATGTTTCTAACAAACTATCAGACCCTAATCACCATCATAAAAACAATTACACTTAATGATATAAAGATGAAACAAAATAAAATAGAAGAATTAAAATTTTAA